TGAAGTCAGTCAATTATGTTCAAGTTAAATTTTTAATATTGTCTTTAGACCACTTAATGTATATTTTCATTTCTTTCACTGGCTGTGATGAACTTCAGTCAGTAAATAGGATGGTAAGTGCAGTTATTACTACGTAAGGTTCCATTTTTAGTTACATAGTTGATCAAGATGCAAGCCAGGGATCATATTATCAATATTGGTATTTTCTGATGATGGTGAAACACCATTAAAACCCTTTTTACTGTTCCCAGCGACTTCTGTTCAGACCTTAAACACAGCTCCCATCTTCTCTGCCTTGCCTCCCCTCTTCCCCTCTTGTATAACCATTCACACATCCTCTAGGTCTTAGATGCATCTTTTATTTCTATAATCTCCCACTATTGTCTTATTTTGTCTTGCACCAACAACATCTCTGATCTCATCATCTTCTCTCCTGCACCTAAATGTTCCCTTTGTCTTTCTTCCCCGCCCCCTTCTGTTTGTCCTTATAATTGGCTCCATTCCAACATCCCCCAGTTCTTACGAAAGGTTATTTATCTGAAATTTCAACTCATTTTCCTCTCTCCATAGATGCAGCCTGACCTGCTGCATGTTCCCAGTGATTTCTGTTTTTATTAAAATCCTTGTCAACTGAATAACAAATTAATAATAATTCTTCCATTTCCCCTTTGCATTAGGAGCATCACTCAAAGAACTTCCCAGGATATACTTCAATGTGGAGTGATTGTGTATTTTGTAGGTGAACATGGTAGCCAATTTGACACAACAATATTCCTACAACAGTCATGAAGTGAATGACCAATCTTATTTTGGGGAGTATTTGGTCAGGACACCAGGAGAAACTCCCTTCTCTTTCAAATAATGCCACAGAATCTTCAATGTCAATCTGAACAGGCAGACGGGACCTCAGTTTAACATCTCATCTGAAGTATGGCACCTCCGACAATGTAGCTCACCCCCAGCAGTACAATGGAGTGTCAGCCTAGAGCTCAAAGTCCCAAATTGGGGCTTAAACCCAAAGGCACTGTTCTCCACCATCTCCCTCACCCACCCCCACAAGCTGCTTCCATCCTCACCTCAAACGCCAAGTGCGAAGAGGTCCTAGACTTTGTGTTAAAGAGTGAAAAAATTTGCTTGGCTGCATCCTCAAAACAACAACAAAATTACATTTGTATAGCGCCTTTCATGTGGGAGAAAGTCCCAAAGCGCTGGACAGTCAGAATTTCGGACCCGAGCTGGGGGTCGGGATTGGGGAGGGTGGAAGGTGGGGGGGGAAGCAGGGTGATCGAAAGCACGGTCGAAAAGGAGGGTCTTGAGATGGGTCTTGAAGGAGGCAAGGGAGGGGGCAAGGCGGAGGGACTGCGGGATGGCGTTCCAGAGGGTGGGGGCAGAGTGGCAGAAGGCCCGCCCGCCAATGGTGGGGCAGGCGAAGCGGGGGACGTGAAGTAGGCCAGAGCCCGCTGTGCGGAGGGAGTGGGCAGGATGGTAGGGGGTTAGGAGGTCGCAAAGGTCGGGGGGAGGAAGACCATGGAGGGCTTTGAAGGGGAGGACCAGGATCTTGAACTGTATTCTCTGTGTGATCCTCCTTCCCTACGTCCCCTTTCGCACCCCACAGACTGTCTACACCACCTCCTCCTTCCACCATGGTCCCTACCACTCCATCCTCCCTACACTCCATTGCTCCTATTTCTCCCGCCTCTCTCTCAACCACCATGTCCCAGATGAAGCCCATCATCTGCTGCCTGGACCCCCTCCCCACCCAGTTGCTGGTTACCCAACTCCCCCTCTGCTGGCAGAAACCGTCAACCAGTCACTCTCCTCAGGTTCTGTTCATCTCCCCCTTAAAACTGTTGTCATCACTCCCCTCAAAAAAAAACACCTTTGACTCCTCCAACCTCACAAATTCCCCATCCATTTTCAACCTGCCCTTCCTTGCCAAAGCTCTGGAACGCGTTGTGCTAACCAGCTTTGCTCTCACCTCTCCCTCCACTCCCCACTCCAGTCTAGTTTTCGCACTGCACAGGATTGTCCTCTCTCTCTGTAACCAGGGATCTTCCTCTTCGTCCTCCTAGACCTCTCCTCTGTGTTCGGCATAGTCAACCATGCCATCCTCATCCACCGCCACTCCTCCCTCATCCACCTCAATGGGACTGCACTAGCCTGGTTCGAATCCTACATAACATACTGCCTTCACTTTATCTCCTCAAACACCTTCTCTTTACGCCCTCGCCCAGTCACCTGGTGTACCCTAGGGCTCCATCCTTGGCCCTCTTCTCTTCCTCATCTATATGCTCCCTCTTGGCAATATCATCCACAGACATGTGGACGACACACAAATCTACTTCTCCTCCTCCAGCTGTGACTGAAAGTCTGTCGATATTCTCTCGGCTTGTCTGGCAGACATAAGGGCCTGGATCAGCAAAAACTTGCTACAACTCAATGTTGACAAGATGGAAGCCATACTCATTGGCTTCTATCAATGTCTTCTATCCCGCGGCTCTGACCTCCTCAACCTCCCCGGCCTATCCCTCAGACTTACCGAACCAGTGCCCAACCTAGTTGTCAGGTTTGATCCGCAGCTGTCCTTCCTTCCCCACATCCGGTCCGTGATCAGGACCACCTTCCTCCACCTCCACCACATTGCCCACCTCCGACCGTACCTTACACCAGACGCAGCCGAAACATTCGTCCAGGTGTTCGTCACCTCCCAGCTCGACTTTTCAAATGCCCTCTTTGCCGGTGTCCCCAGCTTCACCATGAACAAGATCCAACTAATCCAAAACTCCGTTGCGCCAACATACTCACCCGTACTAAACTCCGTACCCCCATCATACTAGTTCTATCACCAAACGGATCGATTTCAAGATCCTCAGACTCGTTTTCAAATTCCTTCATGCCCTGGCACCTCTCTACCTCTACGACATGTTTACCTCCCAACCCACAACCCGCTCGGCTGGCTCTGGCCTTCTGCATGTTCCTTGTGCCCTCCGTTCCAGCATTGGTGACCATGCTTTCAGCCACTACGCCCGTACACTCTTCCTCTATGCCTCCACCTTGCCTCCTCCTTAGGTTGCGCCTGAAGACCTTCCTGTTCGACCGTGCCTACGGTCACCTCCCACCCTCCCCCCCGTCTCGGCATCATGCTCCGCCACTGTCGAGCACTCTGGGAGACAACCCTGCGTGAGGTGGCAGTGTATGAATGCAAGCTGTTGTTGTTGTTGTTGTAAACGCACAACCTTCAGAGGCAAGAGCGCTACTAACTAAGCAAGCCTGACGCCTCAATAAAAATAGGATTCCTTGTGTGGCTTGCCTTCTCGGACTTATCGAGCAGTCCATTCAAAAGCAAGATAAGCGGCAATAGGTAGGATTAGGTGCTGCTGCACTTTTAAGTGTTTGGCATAGATGCATTTTTTACATTTGGCACAAAAAGAGTGTTTTTTTTTTATGTTTGTTTGTTGCAAGGCACCAGAAATTAAGTGACACTTTCTGACGCACGTAGTTCGCCGGCCATTAATTGAGCTCCACAGGTCAGTCGCCAACTTCTGTCGAATAAAAGCCGAGGCTTCACCTTGAGAAAGGAAACCCAAATGTGGAGACCAAATGAAAGTGACCGTTTGTTTACAAGGCGACCTTTCAGCGCTTGCCTCGTCCCCCGAGTCCTCCGCTCCACCCTCGGCGGCCGTGCCTTCAGCCACTGTGCCCCGAGGCTCTGGAGTTCCCTTCCTCACTCCCTCTCTCTTCCCACTTTCAGGTCCCTTCTGATGACCTTTCTTTTCGACCGCGCCTTTGGGTCATCTTCCTCCACCTCCTCCTGGCTCGGCCCCGGGATTCCTTACTGTGAAGCGCTCTGAGACGCCGTCCGGCGCGGAGGGCGCGATATAAATCCAAGTTGTTGTTGTTGGTGGTGGTGGTACCTCAGCTCTCCCTCCTCCGGCCGTTGCGCATATCACGCGCGACCTCAGCCCGTTCCACTGGAAGAGGGGCGGGGAGAAGGAGGGAAATTAAATTTACGTCACCAACTGTCACGCTCGCGGAGGAGCACGTCGGGACTTGTAGTCCTTGCGGAGCCCGGCCGCTGAGGAGGTGGGGGTTGTCTCACGCGCTCTGTCTCTTGATGCTTCGCTCCCCGCCCGAACTACATCTCCCGTGATACGCCGCGCGCGGGCGGGCGGGCGGGCGGTTGGTTGGATGTGGGCGGGTGGGTGTAGGTGGTGGCGCACGCGCGCTCGTCACCTGGTGCTCGAGCGCTGAGCCGCTCGCTCTGTCGGGTGTTTTGGGTGAACTGGAGTTTGAGTGAAGTCAAAGACGGCGAGAGTCCGCCATTTACAGCGAGCGAGCGAGCGAGAGAGAGAGAAGAGTGTCCGACTCCAGACCTTCACGGAAGGATTAAACGTCTCTCTCCGCGCCATCCACCTCCTCTCCCTCTCCTCTCTCTCTACCTTGTCCTCGCAGAGACTTTATTTCTGATCGTCTCTCCCTCGCTCCCTCTCTCCGGTGAAAACACCAACGTGAAAAAAAAGGAGTCGGGGGCGATTTACAAAGAGAGAGAATCTTTTCGGGAAGGGAAGAAGCCGGGATGTCGCGTATGTGGATGGGGCTGCAGTGAGAGCCTCTGCCCGGGGCAGCTCGGCCTCGCTCTTTTTTTTTAAAAAAAAGGCTTTTTCTTTTGCTTCCAGGCCCCATCGTCTGTCTCGTCGTGTCTCCCGGCCCAGGCGGTCGTCGTCCGTGCTTGGCGGACCTGCTTTCTTTTGTGTGTTTTTTTTTGTTAAGTTATAATTTCTTAATTTATCTCTCTGTCTCTCTCTCGCTCTCTCTCTCTCTCGCTCTCTCTCTCTCGCATCATTCTCGAAAGCTTTAAAGGAGCGGCGCCTCGTTTCGTGCACACTCCCGAGGTTGCGTGTGGCGCTGTCTTGGAAGTGTGTTCGTGGGGTGGGTGGGGGGTGGGGGGGGGGAGAGGAGAAGGAGAAGAAGAAGAAGAAGAAAAAAGGAGAGATCTGAACATTTATTTTAAAAACGATGGAGTTGTCTGCCTTTTGAGAGAGAAAAAGGGGTCACGGCGGCGTGAAAGGGGATTCTTCAGCCTCAGTGACTTGAAGTAAACGCAGTACTGTTTTTTTAAAAAAAAATATCTTTGGGTTTTTTTCGCGAAAGAGTCTTTATTTTAATTCTCTTTCCTTTAGGTCTGTGTTTTTTTTTTTCCTTTTAAACCCTTTTGTGTCTCTCTGCCCGGTATAAATGAAAACGGTTTGGTGGGGTTTTTAATTAAGGATGGATGGGTCACATCGGACGGTCCACGTTTATTTCGCTGCACCGCAATTGATCGATTTGGACAGGATTGTGTGTGTCCTTATCGCTGGTTATAAAGGAACACCTCTGCTCCAGAGGGCCGACCCTTTGCACAGAGGTAATATGGATTTGTTTTGATTTATTTTATTTGAGAACGGACAAAATATCGTTTTGCTCCCTTTACTCTTCGTCGTTGGTACTCGTATTACTTGGCACTTATCAATCGCACGCTTTTTGAAGTCTCTTGGCCGAAAAGGAAGCTACTGCAACTACAGCTTTTGATTTCGACATTTTGCAAGGTTTTTGTGTAACAATGTCGGAAAGCTCGGATAAGATTTCATCTTTATTGCGCCCTCCTAAAAATGGTACCAATTCCAGCTCGGATACCACGATTGGGGAACGTTTAGGAGCAAGTTTGCTGACAAGAAAGGAAGACAACACCATCATGAGGCGGAGGCATACTATGGACAAGGACAGCAAAACTGATCACCAACGTTTCTTCAGAAGGAGTGTGCTCTGCGATTCCAACGTTACTGCATTGGACCATCTGCCCAGCAAAACCAGTTTTATCGCCTCGCCACCCGAATCGGATAATACAGCTTTATTAATAAGTAGTGTCACTCAAAATAACGCGGCGCAACCTTCGATAAAGGCAGCTACTGTTGCCCCAGTCTTGCCTGCAGTTCCTGTAATCGCCGAAGAAAAATACGAAAATTGCAGTGATAGCAATTCAAAAGACGGAAGTACACCCGCGGGAATCGGCGATGTTGGACCCGGGGCAGACATTTGCAACCATGTCGAGGCTACAGTCACCAGTAGTGCTAATAAAGACAGAAAAAAGCAAAAAAGTGTCGCAATCAATCAGGAAATCGAGCAGAAAATCTGCGAAGAGGACAGCGCGGAAAGCCGAGAAGCGGAGGAGGCAAGAAACCTCGAGAGAAAGGCACAGGAGGATAATGAAGAAATAGAGACAAAGGCAGTGGGCACTTCTCCTGACGGGAGGTTTTTGAAGTTTGACATAGAAATCGGGAGAGGATCTTTCAAAACTGTATATAAAGGTTTAGATACGGAAACGACCGTGGAAGTTGCTTGGTGTGAATTGCAGGTGAGTTTCGTGCTGGTGGTGTGGGTCAGTGCACTCAGCACCACGAAGGTTGGCTATTTAAATTATTTCCTGTTGCATCAGTGCCGGTCGTGTTAATCATGAGTCATAATAATCGTACAGAAAGTGATATAACCTTTAACACAAAATGAGTTGGGTCATAACAATTGTCACCTCTTCCCTCAGATACACACGAAGGAAATTAAATCTGTCAGTGTGACATGGGGGAGGGAAATGATTCGGAAACTGGCTTTGGGGTTATTCGCATTTCAAATCTTAAAGTAACATTTTCTTAATGGAACATGTTAATGTTGTGAAGCGTTTCCACTGTCAACCACGGAACATGAATTATCCAAACATTTGGGAAGCACTACTTTGTGCTGCCGAAGCTGTTTTTAGCTTTCCATCTGCATTTGTATCCATTAATGCACAATTGTTACATGAAATAATTGACAGAGCTGGTGAGGTAGGCCTGAAGTGTTTAAACTGAATGTTGGTAACTATTCATGTTTCCTTTATAGCAATTGCATTTTAGGTTTCCTCACAGTAATAAGGATAAGGATTTACTAGGACAAAACATTTACTTTAGTTAGACATTTAAAACTTTAGATAATTTTTTAAATAGAAATCACTGCGTCATAGACTGACAGACTGAAAAGCTGAATTATCTTGTCAAAATTATTTACACTGAAGGTACTGAAGCAAAAATACTTATCTAGCTTACTCTCGATTATTAAATTGTGGTCATCTAGATGAGAACTCTTTTCATATTTTGGTCCTGAAGTACAGCAAGTTATTTATGTCCTCCACAGTATTTGATCATCTCAAATGATAATGACTCTTTCTGATTAATTTCCCAACCAGATTTTAATCAGCAGTTTTGAACAAAAAGTTAACGAATGCATCAGTATTGCTGCTTTTGCTGGGTGTTTTCTCTGTTGAGTGTTGTACTATTCAGAATTCAGATTTTTTTGTTGGAAGAATGAATCTGTGAAAGATTATCCACATATTGTGGGTTGAAGTTCCGATAACCTTCCCAATAATAATAATGATCCTTACATTTGATATAGCGCTTTTCACGTCTTCGAGACGTCCCAAAGAGCTACACAGAATAGACTGTAAAGTGAATATTTGTGGGCAAAATGCAGCAGCCAGTTGCACACAGCAGTGTCCCACAAACAGTCATGGATTGAAGTGACCAATTTTTTTTCTTGAGGGGTTATTATCAGGCGTATGGAGTAAGGAAACTTGCCCAAGGTTTCACCCTGCTGGGAATCAAAACCAGGTCTCTCGCTTGCAAAGCAAGTGCTCCAACCACTGAGCCACAGGACTGGACAATAAAATGAAAATGTGGCATAAAACAAATGTTTTGGTCAATTATGTAAATCTCTCCTCTCATGAAACTGATCATATCTGATTCAATGGATTGTTACTTGTGATTTATGAGCTGTTCATTACCAATTTTCTCATGGGAATTTATTCCAGTCACAGCTAGTGATTTTCTAATTTTTTAGAAAGATTTTTATTGAAAAGCATATGATTCATAGATAATATGCTTCTGGAATGTGAAATGTAAATATTATGTGGCTTCATGTATTTTAGTTTTAAAAGTGTGCTGAAATAGTCCAGGTTTATATATGTCATTTACCAGTTAACTCAGCAGTAAGTGTACAGTAACTTAAGAATGGTTTGTGACTAATGTGTACAACAAACCACATGTTGTCACCTGCAACATTAATGGATGTCTAATTATTGTAATGGTTTTAATTTTATCGGTTTTGGGTATATTGATGAACATCAGATACTTATTCCAAATATGTAAGGTTTCAAGTATGGTTTGAAAGCTGGAAGAATTGCTTACATTGCAGGAAACTATTTTTAAGATAGTGCTTTTCAATCATATGGCCACAAATCAAATTTTGTTGGGTACTTAAACTACACACTACTGTGTTTTGGAGAAATCCAGGTTATAAAACAGCTCCTTGGGGACTTGATCAATTTGCCCATTTTTATGGTGCGTTCAAAGAGTGTATATTTTGAGTTTGATCTGCGATGCTTAGTGATGTATTAAGTTACTTAAAGTAAACAAAGATTGGAGGAAAGGTGAGGTAAGGTCCTCAGATTTGGTGGAAATTATGTCCTGCTTGTTTGGGGGGTACAAAGATCTTGAGTTTAGAATGTTTTTCAAAACTTTCTTTAATCAGAATTATAGTTCTGCAGCAATCTTCTTCTGCCCTAATAAAAATCTGCATTTGTAGTGGGCTTATTTCAGCCTGTTTTAGCAAGATTCAAATGGATTTTGAAAATGGGAAGAGTTAACTAATTTGTGGAAACAAATATTTTTCAACAAATTTTGTTCAGAATTCTAAATTTCAGTGTTTATTTGCCTGTATTCTCATTTTAATGTTTACAAACTCACACGTGTGCAAAATAATATCATAGTTTAATCATATGGTTTCAAGTGCTTCACACTTCCTGAAACCTGTGTGGTATCTTTTGCCTCCAGGACTTCATTAATAAGAATCAAAAGCACAAGTATTCGAATAACTAAGGAGTCCTGTAGCTCAGTGGTTAGAGCACTCGCTTTGCAAGTGAGAAACCTGAGTTCAATTCCAGGCAGAGGGTGAAACCTTGGGCAAGTTTCCTTACTCCACACGCGTAATAATAATCCCTCCAAAACCAAAAACAATAATACAATTGGTCATTTTCAATCTACGACTGTTCTACGACTGTTTGTGGGATATTGCTGTGCGCAATTGGCTGCCGCGTTCGCCCACAAAAAAAAACTTGGGTTTGCTGCACGATCCTCACTTCCTTCAGCTCGCCATCGGCAGATGAGCCTTCTGCCATTCTGCCGTGACTCTCTAGAAATCCTTGTCTTTCCCCCTCTGTCTGTCTTTAGAATCCTCCTGAAAATGTGCCTTTTTTCATTTATCGCCTCTTCCTCACATAAGAACATAAGAATTAGGAGCAAGAGTAGGCCATTCAGCCCCTCGAGCCTGCCCCGCCATTCGATAAGATTATGGCTGATCTTCAGACCTAACTCTAATTACCTGCCCTATCCCCATATCCCCTAATCCCTCTTGTTTTTTAAAAATCCATCAGTCTCAGCCTTGAAGATGTTCAAGGACTGAGCATCTACTGCCTTCTGGGGTAGTGCATTCCATAAATTCACTACCCTCTGAGTGAAGAAATGTTTCCTCAACTCTGTTCTAAAAGGCTGACACTTAATTTTAAGACTGTGACCCCTGGTTATAGATTCTGCCACCAGGGGAAACGGACCCTCAATGTCTACTTTATCAGCCCTTTAAGAATCTTATATGTTTCAATAAGATCTCCCCTAATTCTTCTGTACTCTAGAGAATACAGCCCTAGTTTATTCCGCCTATCCTCATAGGTCAGTCCCCTCATCCCAGGAACTAACCTAATGAATCTATGCTGCACCCCCTCTAGGGCAAGTATGTCCTTTTTTAAATAAGGAGACCAAAACTGCACACAATACTCTAGGTGCGGCCTCACCAAGGCCCTATACAGTTGCAGCAAGACTTCCCTACTCTTGTACTCTAAACCTTTTACAATGAACGCTAACATGCCGTTCGCCTTCTTAGTTGCTGCTGCACCTGCAAACTAACTTTTTGAGACTGGTGTACAAGGACACCTAAATCCGTCTGCACACTAACACTGTCTAATCTCTCCCCCTCTAGTAAATAATCTGTTTTTCTATTTTTGCTACCTATAACTTCACACTTCCCCACATTAAATTCCATCTGCCACCTACTCGCCCACTCCCCTAGCCTAACTATATCCCGTTGCAATCTTTTTGCATCATCCTCAGAGCTTACTCTCCCACCTAGTTTAGTGTCATCCGCGAATTTAGATACGTTACATTCAATGTCCTCGTCTAGATCATTGATGTAAATTGTAAATAGCTGAGGCCCAAGCACTGATCCTTGTGGCACTCCACTAGTCACATCCATGTTCAATGTCCACCAGTATCTCTGTAAAAGGCTCCAAGATATTTCCCTTTGTGAAAGGAGCTGCATAAATGCAAGCTGTTTTTTTGATGCCTGTTCTGAGTTTGAAGATTTCTGTTAGAAAAGGTCAGCACTTGGGTACTATAATTTTCCTTTGGTTTAGGAAGGGAAAAAAATAGCTATTTTTCCACTCCTAATCACCTATCCAGTGACCTCTTCTGTAAGTATTGGGTGAGAAGAGGATCGCTTCAGACTCTTGATATCTTGGCTCATGCAGAATGGCAACTTGAGCTCTGAAACTGAGCCTTTCAGGAATGGAGACAATTTAAAAAAAAATCAAGCGTCTCACAAAATGTGTGTTTCAGTTGCTGCACTGTATCTTTAGTATATCTGCAGATCTATGACATTCAGATACTGAATACAAAGTCATGCCGTTGCATTTGTTTCACCAGCAAGAGAGTGGGAATATCAAAGATGCCTCCTATGTGATTTGTTGTTCTGTTTCGTGCAACATGGAAAGGCAAGGAAGGGCAGGTTCATATTGTTCTGTTACTTAAAATCCTAATACTGTATTGTAATTTCATTTCATGTCTTACGAAAGTACTTTTTCTAATTCAATGCGAATAAGAATGCTAGGTTCCATCATTTTAGTGCCCATTGAAAAGGTGACTTATTGTACGTCCTGCAGAAGTGTTAATCAGAGTTTGGACAAGCCCACAGAGGTGTGGAGAAATGTTAGATTCATGCAACCTAAATTCTTTTGAAATGGTTCAATTTGTTTTGAATGGAGCTTGATTTTAGATGTTAACTGTGGAGTTTAACCTCCTGCAATCAAAAGCAATGCTTATAATTTTAGAAAGTGAGGAAGGGAAAACTTGCAAGTTGTTAATGTATTGATGGTGAGAATGATGCCTGTCAAATGGTTTGTATTTTCATTAAAATAGCCAGATCTGAGATTTGCGTAAATGGAAAGCTTAATCAATATCCTTTTGATTCAAATCTTGCCTTCATGTTTACAACTGTAGTTTT